GGGAAAAGAATTACAAGCTTAGCTAATGAAAATCTGAAAGCAAGTCAAGTCAATACTTTGTGGTTCCGATCCTGATGCACTGGTTTGCTAGTTCAACCCTGAACACAAGAATCACTCACAGGTGATCTCTAAGAAGAGGTCTGAAAATTGCAGGAAAGGCTTATCAATACTGCTTTGGAAAAAGCAAAGCATAAGGCAGCTAACTAAAAGGATGTTGGTAATGCCTGTTTTTTGGTTATAGGTCAATAGAACTTCATATACTGTACATGTAGATTACTCCAAACACAGTCTTAGCTCTTGGTAGACAGGCTCTTACTCTACTACAACTCAGTGTACAAGTAAAAGGAGACAAAAAGAATTTCAACCCTCCTAAAGGGAACTATGAAGTATTACCTCATAAATTATATAATTAAACACTTTCAAGTGAAAAGCAGAAGTATTGAATTTAATAGACATGCTAATATAAAAAATTTCTCCTTAGGTTGATTTCTTTACAGTGAGGTCTAAATGCTCAAAACCCCTCTGTAAAAGACAAAAAGGCAGGAAGTGGCAGAGTCTTAATCAGTGACCTTAGATCTTTTTGAAGTGCAAAGAAGTGAAATAACAGCCCACAGAGTAAAGTTAACATCACACCTTCAAATCAGTATGCCTAAGAGAGAAAATCATTAACAGTTAACCTATCCTTTAGTGAAAATTTCAAAACCAATTAGGTTCCCTGAAAAATGTTACATTTATGCTATTAAATTGAGTACTTCCCAAAAGCTATTTTCAATAAATTTTAGAATAAAAGATTTCTCAAAGAATAGTCATTTTCCACTTGGGAACTTTTTACAATTCTAGTTTAATTATGAGGGGTTATTTAGAGGTTTGATGTGCACATCTGACCGATGAGAGTAACTGCCCCACGTAGTAAAAATGTAGTATGTGAAAGCTTGAAGTTTCACTTTAAAGGTATCTATATGAAGATCTAGATGTCAAGAGCACATTGTGTTCAAAAAACTGGCCAACACAGACTGAAGGTGCTAATTAAAGCCCTCTAACAACCCCTGCTTCTTCCAACCACCACTGACTGTCAGTTTGTAGTGCTGCATGACATGTGTGCTCAACGCAGCTGGAAGTTATATGTCTCAGTCATCTAGTGCTGCCACATCACAAGTGGATGGCTTCTAGCAATCAGAAAGTTGTTTTGTCACAGTAGAACAAACCAGGCATTTTCATTACAATTGGGAGAAACTGGAGAGGGAGAACGAGTAACAGGCACCAACCAGGTCCCAAACCCAGAAGGTATTACATAAGCTCCCAAAGCTTGAAAGGAATCCTCTGATCTCTGAGACTAAAAGTCCATCTAAGTGGTAACCTCATCCACGTGGCCCTGCAGGTCCCATTCTTCCGCCCCTTCTGCATGGCAACCCCACCCTCTTGGCTTTGGACATCAGCCCCATCCCCCTGGCACACCTCATGACAGCTCCACACTACAGAACAGGGTTGGTGAAGATCCTCCTCTTGGAAACCCAGGAGGCTGTGGCCCCACCCTTTTGAGTTCCAGGAGACTGGGATCCCCTCCTTTGAAACCAAGAAGGCCCCCCCCTCCCTGTGCTCCATGCAGCACTTGTGCTGACCCCAAGCCGCTCCAGGGATGATTCTTTTCTTTTCTTTTTTTTTTAATTGTTTTATTAGGGGCTCCTACAACTCTTATCACAATCCATACATTCAACTGAGTAAAGCACATTTGTACATTCATTCCCTCATCATTCTCAAAACATTTGCTCTCCACTGAAGCCTCCGGCATTAGGTCCTCATTTTTCCCCTCCCTTCCCGCTCCCCCCTCCCTCCTTAGCCCATCTCTTTTCTATTCTCTGTTTAATCTCTTTTGTAGATTCGAAATAGGGTCACTACAAGTTGGAACTGACTCAATGGCAATGAGTCTGGTTTTCTGAGTTAGTCTCAAAGAGACACTGACTCAAGATACACCCTACGAACGGACCCTGATTGCAATGATTAACCAGCCCCTCCCCTACGGGGTGACTAACAACAGAAACATGGGTGAAGGGAGACAGCGGGTGTTTTAAGATATGAAAATAATAATAATTTATCATTTATCAAGGGTCCATAAGGGTGGGAGGGTAGGGGAGAGGGGGGAAAACTGAGGAGCTGATACCAAGGGCTCAAGTAGAAAGAAAATATTTTGAAAAGGATCATGGCAATATATGTACAAATGTGTTTTATAGAATTGATGTATGGATTGTTTTAAGACTTGTAATAGCCCCCGATAAAATGATTAATAAAAAAAATACACCCTATGGGTATCCTGCCTCATTAACACAACGAAGGCAACTCATTCCCAAATGGGAGTACAACCACAGCACAGAGACCAGATGTTGTAACACAAAATACTGGGAAGATTAATTCAATCCATAACCTCAGGGCCAGTATTTAAACACTACCAAGGCACCTATCATAACCAGATTTCAGCAGAGTTTCTACACTAAGACAGACTAGTAAGAAAGGCCTGGTTATCTCCTTCTGAAGATTGTTATTGTCCTTGTTGTTAGATGCCATTGAGTCAGTTCTGACTCACAGCCACTCTTTACAACTGACAGAAACACTGCCACGTCCTTCCCACCCATCCCCACAATTGTCCTTATGTTTGAGTCCATGTCAATCCATCTGGTCAGGGGCCTTCTTCTTTTTTGCTGACCCTCCACTTTACCAAACATGATGTCCTTCCTTCTCTAGAGACTGAAAATTAGTTCAATAAAAACCCTACAAATCATAACAGAGCACTATCTAATAATATAATGCTAGAAGATGAGCCCACTAGAAATACATGCTGGCTACACGGACTTGAACAGACTACATCATGAAGATAGCATAGGACCCAGTGCTGTACACTGGGACCCTGTGAGCAGGTGCTGACTCCATAGCAACTGACAACAATAAACAACCTCCTTTAAAAACCCGTAACACTACTCTTTATTCCTAAGGCATAACCTTTGTGGTTAGATATGTTTCTTCTGATCTTCCACTCTCCTCCCAGACACATCTTACACCATAAACTGTTTCTTTCAACATACACACACACACACACACACACATACATACAGGGAAGAAAAAGCAAAGAAAAAAGTAAAAGGCCATCAATGTCTGCTTTAATAGAACAGAATTAAGAATGGGTAAATACTGTCCCCAAACAGTGATGGTCTACTAAGTCATCCAGCTCTTAGCCTCCCATAGTTTTCCTGTCTCTCTCGCTTCCTCCATTTTCCTCTTCAGCAATCTCTTTCCACTCCAGTTTCCATGCCATCCACGGCTACGTTATACAGCAATGGGCCAAAAATTAAAATCTGGATATGTTCCAAGTTTTTTAAAAAAAAAAAGAAAATAGCTTTGATTGGCTTGTCTTCGTCTTATTGCAAGAAATTATTATACCTGCAAGCTCAATGTAGAAAAATGCTGCTCCTCAAACACAGGCACTGAAATGTATAATGTATATTTGAACAGCCATTTTTCTATGGGAGGACATGATACATATGATTTTATAACCTGCTCTTTGTCATTCAACAGATTATGAGCATTTTCTCAATCACATTCATTAATTTAATTTTTTGATTGTTGAATTGTATGGATCATTAAACCAATCACTTCGGTATTTGAGGTTGTTTCCAATTTTTAGTTATGATTAAAAAGTACCATAATAAAATCATGTCTAAATAATAATGACCAGCATTCATTACTTATTGTGTCTCAGGTACTATGGTAAGCCCTTTGCACATATTACCTCATTTAATCCTCCTCAAAATTCTGTATGTAAATAGAATTATCTCCATTTTACAGGCTTGGAGGCTTGGAGAAGTTAAATAATTTACTCATGATGTCATGTTAATAAGTAGTAATAGATGAGTGTAGCATTTAAGAATTGGTCATTTAATGGGTTTGCTAATTGGTTGGGCGGCCCTAGTGGCATAGAGAATTACTCATTGGGCTGCTAACCACAAGGTCAGCAGATCAAAAACACCAGCCACTCTGTGGGATAAAGATGAGGCTTTCTACTCTTGTAAAATCTACTGTCTCAGGAACCCAACAAGGGCCATTCTACCCTGTATTAACAGGTCTCTATGAGTCAGCATCAACTCATGGTGGTATGTGGAATAAAAATTCTGTCCCACAAGCTATTTCTAGAAAATCAGTAGGAAAAATGACCATTGGATACCAAATTAATACTTTCATTCTTTCACCTTAGGTTTTTACCCCCAAAATTTCACAAGTATGTGAATTTCACATGCTCTAGGTTCTAAAATTTCACATGCTCTAGGTTCTAGAGCATGAAGAAGATGACCCCCCCCCAAAAAAAAGGCCCAGATGCTCTAATTTTAATTGACAGGCCCATAGTTATTTCTGAACAGGGATACCATTAGTTAAAAAAGTAACTGAATTCTACCAAAGCTTCTCAAAGGAATCTGCTAGGAACTAAAATGTCTGTCAAAAGACAGTCACTGGGAGGGTGAGATTTCCCTATTACGCTTCCAGGATACCTGAAGTAAAGCCAAAGATGTGCTGCTTCTGATTAAGCGCCACAAAGCAAACAAAATATCTTATTATCAACATCACTACAAACACAGACATAGGTAAGGAAGCTCAACATCTAACCAATGAAATAAATGGCAACATCTCAATGACACTAAACATTTTTAAGGCAATCAGCAAAATAAAAATAATTAATCTTGTTTTCCAAATAGCATTCTAACATGGAACACTCACCAAATGCTAAACACATGGAGAACATCTTAAGTGCTGAATTAAACACAGGCTGTACCACAGAGATATATACTCTCCAAACAGCAGTAAACCCCACACTAAGACAATGCAGGAAAGACTCAACTCCCTTTCGGTATGTATTAGGCAGGATTAGATTTCTTGGCTAACTCTTCAGCAAGGTCTCAACGAAAGATGCAAGAGGATAATTTACTAAGAGCAAGAGCTTAATTGTAGGATAATGTTACCTTAGTCCAGTGGGCAGCCTTCTCCCTCTCAACTCCAGGAGAGTGTATGCTCTGGGGTACAGGAGGTATGAGCGATATCTAGGATGAAGGAAAGAAAGAAAACAGTATTAGAAGAACACATCAGTGAAAGAAGCTGTTTCAGACTAGTTCTGTATTGATTTCATGTTGGTACACATACAAGGAAATCAAGTTCCTTTTCCCCCCCCTGCTTATTGTGGGCTGATTTTATAAAGACAAACCACATAATTACATCAAAGCATCTGCAAAGATAAAATCTAGGGAATTTTCAAAACTGGAGGCTGTTTGGAAAGGGGGAGGGAAAGAGGAAGAGTCAACAAAGTTAGAGCAGGATAAGATAGAGGCACAAAACTGGCTTTTGAGCAAAAGAAAATGTATGAGTTCAACTGTATGAGCATGAAACACATGAGTGTTTTCATTCATCTGATTTCTTCCGACATCGATTAAAACATTGGTTTATGACAAAAACCCTTAACAACTTCAAAATCAACTTCATGTTAAGGCTCCATTCTTTGGGGTGATGAATAGTAGGAAATCAGTAAAAGAATGTCACTTGAAGTCAGCCATTTATCATGAACCAAAACGGCTAAGTACCCCATAAACCGCAATGATCCATTTCCTATTAGCATCACACAACAGTAGGCAACCTCATCCGAATTAACAATTTTTATGACCTCCGTAGGCAGAAAGGCTAACGTTAGGAAATGGCTTATTTTTGTTCTGTTATAAATGTTCATTATTATACCATAAAAAATTCTTTAAGGATATAAAGTACTGATGGATTCATTAAGGAATTCTTTTAAAAGGTTTTCCTAACTGAGGTTTTTTGGTTTTTTGATTCAATCTTGGGAGTTTCCCTTTTCTGACCAGCACGATCTGGTTTTCTAGATTTAATGCATTTTTGTTGTATGATGGCATCAAATATCACAACAAGCTGCAATTAAAATAATTCTCCCTTCCCAAATTCATGTGACATTGACAATTTTTTCAGTGTGCCAAGCGTCAAAAGATATTGGTTTACATGCCTCTTAAATTCTGGCAAATGCCAAGTTTCCAAACTCCAAGAAAAGGAGTGAAAACAGCGCACCATGGTTTGATACTTAGCAAAATGCTTAAAGCACTTAAGTTCAATACAGTTCCCATAAAATCCCACCTAACAGTTTTAAATGTGTTAGTTGGTCACATCCAGATGCCTAGTGACACTTGTGACTGCAAACATGACTAGGAGTCACCTTCCAACAACAAATGGCATCACTGCCAAACAGAAAGAAAAAGAAACCCAAATGGCCAGATGAGAAAAGCAACTAAGGAAATTGGTCCCATGTAAGATTAGGAAATCAAGGCTATTTTACTGAAAGCACATCAAAAAGTTCCGATATTTGTGAGGCACAATTTTTTTTCATTATCATTATACCTAGACAACATATTGTAACTTATTTTTAATTGTTTCCTACAATTATGGGTACGCCTTGAAAATAGCTGTTTCCTAAAATGACAAATTTTTCAGAGAAATGATTCCTCCTCCGGGGAAATCATCATTCTTTACATACATTTACTGAAGGCAAAGTCTTGGGGACAGAGGTCAATAAGATAGTCCATGTTGTCAAGGTGCTTTTCATCTATTTGGGGAGATGAAACATTTTCATCAAAAAAGAAAAAATGAAATGTTAAATGAGTTCTTAAAAATAGGTAGATTCCACTTTTCCACTGTCAGGGCTAAGTAAATACTTGCTAACTTATTAAAGAGAATTTTAGGAGAGAAAGAATGAACTGGGTGGTGCATGATGAATTCATAGAAGGTATCTATTTCAAGTTTGGCCTTGAAGAATAAAACACAGGCAGTCCCTGGATTAGGAACATCAGACTTACATACAATCTTTGGTTACAACCCAACACCCATAACATCTATCATATTAAAATTTTAAGGTATATACAATGGTTTATAATAATAAACCAGCACTACTTTGTGATAGAAAAATATCACTACTATATTAGTATGTTACAGATGTTTTCGTGGGTCTGGAAGTATTTCTTTAATGTTTTATTTAAATCATTTTATTGTGGGCTCATACAATTCTTATCACAATCCATACATACATACATCGTGTCAAGCACATTTGTCTATCTGTTGCCATCATCATTCTCAAAACCTTTGCCTTCTACTTGAGCCCTTAATATCAGCTGCTCATTTTCCCCCTCCCACCCTCCTCCCTCATGAACCCTTCATAATTCATAAATTATTATTTTGTCATCTTTAATGTTTTAATACATACAATGGTACACTATGTAGTATAAGTTATATATAGATTTGACAAACTGACCTTAGAGATGAACCATAAGTTAACTATTCCAACTTAAGTACAAACTACTTAAAGGCAGATTTAGGAACAGAACTTGTTCATAATCTCAAGAAATACATCGTTTCCCTTATTAGTGTTGTTCCAAGTAGAACGCACTGCCAGAGTCCTACCCAATAGCAAGCCTTTCAGACTTGGACTTTTTTTTTTTTTTCTTCACATTTATTTTTTAAATCATTTTATTAGGGGCTCCTATAACTCTTATCACAATACATACATACATCAATTGTGTAAAGCGCAATTGTACATTCATTGCCCTCATCATTCTCAAAACATTTCCTCTCCACTTAAGCCCCCCGCATTAGGTCCTCATTTTTCCCCTCCCTCCCCGCTCCCCCTTCTCTCATGAGCCCTTGATAATTTATAAATTATTATTTTGTCATATCTTGCCCTGTCCGACATGTCCCTTCACCCACTTTTCTGTTGTCTTCCAGGGAGGAGGTCACATGTAGTTCCTTGTAATCGGTTCCCTCTTTCCAACCCACTCTCCCTCTACACTCCCAGTATCACCACTCACACCACTGGTTCTGTAGGGATCATCCACCCTGGATTCCCTGTATTTCCAGTTCCTATCTGGTCTAGTGTACAACCTCTGGTCTAGCCAGACTTGCAAGGTAGAATTCATATCATGATAATGGGAGCGGGGAGGAAACATTTAGGAACTAGAGAAAAGTTGTATTTTTCATCGTTGCTACACCACCACCACCACCCCACCCCACCCCCACCTCACTGGCTTGTCTCCTCCGGAGCAGACTTGGACTTTTAACCTCTCCATTTCCTGAAATTCCTCCTGCCCATTCACTAAAGGATGACCATCATTGTTTTCCTTTCTCCTTTGAAATCACTAATAACCCTCAAATCAGATGATCCCACCCACCAAGAACTAGGGGATCACGCAGAGTGAGAGCTGAGTGTTTATGGCCTTATTTATACCAAGGAGATTTTAATCATCAGAAACTCTCCTAACTCTTTTGGGAGATTAGTACGCAAGGATAACCCAAAACAAAACAAAAAGGTAAAGGTGTCTCTAGAAAGGTACAAAGAAATCTGTTGAAAGTCTCTCTAAATTTGCCTCTGAAGATCCGAGGAGGGATATGAAAGTGCTATTGACACCCTTAGCATCACCAGTCCCCCTTTTTTCACTCTAGTTTGGGCCTCTCTCATTTTGTCGCCTAGCATGTCTCCCAAACTCTAGTACATCCCCAACCCAGTTCATTTAGCAAGACTTGCCAGGATCATCTTCCTGGATCACAACTTGGTACTCATAATATCATTTGATCAAAATTCCTCAGAGCATCTCCACTACTGACAGGCTTCAGTCTGAATACTCTAGCTGATTCTTCCCTGACTTTTTGTACCTAAAGGCTTGGTGGAAAACTTGATCTTATTTGTGGAGCACTTTGAGATAACTAGAGGAGCCTTGTTGCTGGAAAGCACAAACATCTCTGAGGGCTGAGAGGGTCGCTACTACGTATACCTGTAAAGCATTCCTAGCCCCATGGAGCTGGGAAAGTCTGGTGAGGCAATCTGGCCGTCTGCAACCACATTTCCTCACCTTTTCTCTACAGCAGTGCTTCTCAAATTTTAACATGTGTCATCTGGGATGTTTGAAAACACAAAATCTAACAAGTTCTGCAGGTCAGAGGACCACAATTTGTGTATCGAGTCTTACAGCAAGAGCTCTCAATCTTAACTGTACACGAAATCACCCATGAAGCTTTAAAAATCCTATTGCTCAGGCTGCGCCTCAGATCAATTATATCATAATCTCTAAGGAAGTTGTTTTTCAAATTCCCCAGGTGATTCTAATGTACAGACAAAATTGTCGATCAACAGTCACAGATACAGGAGTGAAGAAATCAAAGGACGTGTTGCCTTGGGTAAATTTGCTGCACTTGACACCTCATTAAAGTGTTAAAAAACAAAGATGTCACTTTGAAGATGAAGGTGCACCTGTTTTATATATGCTTGTAATAGCTGAATAATGAATATAAAAAAACAGAAAAGTGATAATTGATAGATGCATTTGATTTACAATTTTGGTAAAGAATATTAAATACACCATGGGCTATCAAGAGAACAAATAAATCTGTCTTAGAGGAAGTACAGCCAGAATGGTCTTTAGAAGCAAGCTAGAGAGAGTTTGTCTCACCTACTCTGGACCAGTCCCTAGAAAAGACCATCATGCTTGGTGTTAGAGGATCAGTGAAAAGGTGGAAGATCCTCAAAGAAGAGCTGAACTGACACAGTGGCTGTAGCAGTGCGCTCAAATACAACAGTTGTGAAGATGGTGCAGGACCAGGCAGTGCTTGAGGTGCAGTCAACTGGGCAGGACCCAACAGCAACAAAAATATTCTATGCATTAATCCCTCCACCTCAGTACCTTTGCCAAGGCAACATGCCGTGCATAGAACGTTCGTTCTTTCTTCAGCTGGTCCTTCCCTCCCCACCTTCAGATCTAATGACAGTCCTCCCTTCCTGAAGAGGACTCAAGCCTTAGTGTTTGCAGCATCTTCTCAAGTCCCCTAGCACTGCCTGCCTCGTTCTTTATCTCTGCCCTGCATTTGTGTGTGCATTCCTTGGTGCAGGTGTTACTTATCATACCTGTTTATCCTCTCAAGGTCTAGTCTCAAGGTCTAGCAAATAGGAAGGAGCGTCAAAAGTTCATGGAAAAATAGGATTAAAAGTTAATAGAATTTTTCC